GTAGGGAGTCTGATGAACAAGTTAAAGCTCAGATTTGGTTTAGTTTATTATTTTTGTATCATTACTGTTAATATGAGAGAATTTTTGTTGGTTCCAGTCGAGTCAGTCGTTCAGGTTGCACGGATGTTTTAATTTCCTACAGAACCATAACATGTCTGTAATAAGATACGTAAAGGGATTTTAGAACTGTATCATGATTTCAGGCTTAAAACAGGTCATTTTCTTTTAGACAGACCTTTGAACACTGAACATCCAATGATTCTTTCTAGTTTTACACTTTCTGGCTGATAAATGGTTTAAATAGTTAAAACGCTCCTGGAAGTAAAATGAGGTTTCTGTTTCATTTACAGCTTTATTCTGTCGATTATTGACCCCAGTTCTTGTCAAGTTAATTCATTTGATTACTAATTAACTACGTACAAAGATGTTAAATGCACTAATTATGAGCCACTTTGTGCAAAAAAAATCAGTTTCATCTTTTGTCTGAGGTCCTGCAGGTAAAACTGAAAAAAAAAGTGTTTCTGAAGATGCACAATCTTTATTTTTATTGGTAAAAAATGCAAGAGATTATTCTAAAACATTTATTCCTACATGTCCATATGTTGATCAGTTTTTGGAACTCCAACTAAACCAATCAGGATTTTTTGTCAGCAAATAAAAATAAAAAGATAATAATTGAGCTGTTTGTATTGTTGTTAATTATCAGTAACTTAAACCTTTAATTTATTGAAAATCTTCAGACATATTATTTAAAATCAAGTTGTTTCTCTTTTGGACGTCATTTAAGAACTCGGTCATGAAAACTCATTTACAGTTTGTTGATTAATGTTCATGTTGAACTAACGAACGAAGGAACTCGGAGGTTTTTTGAGCCTCAGCTACCTTTAAAAATGTGACGAGTGAAGGGAGGAAAAAGGATGAACAGCCGAGGCTTCAAGGAGGTTTAAATAAAAAATAAAAACCTGCCTCCTGCTGCAGATTGTCAGTCACTGTGAGGTTTGAAACTCCGACAAAGAAACTTTGGGAGCCGAGGTGGGAACAGAGGATGCTCTTTTTGCGTGACGAAGCCTGTTGAGTTTGACGGCTCACACTTTGTCGCGTTCACGCTCAACATTCATTCATCGGCGTTCACACGTCGGGGACAGACCGTCTTTGTGTTGTTGTTGTTGTTGTTGTTGTTGTTGTTGTTCACTTCGCTGCCTTGCTCAAGGACAGTCATCGCTGACGGATGTGAAAGTGTGACTCAGTTCCCGAGAGAAGTTTGTGATCTGTAACTCTGATGCTGTCGTCGTCTTCAGGCGCTGCAGGCTCTCGGCTTCGTGCTCGGCGGCGACGGCGACGTGGACTCGCTGAGCGCCGACGAGAAGTCGGACGGCGAGGGGAAGAACGACCGGATGTCCAGCAGCTCCAGCTCCACCTCCATCACCTCCTCCACGGACACGCAGGAGGTGAGGAAACGCACACGCAGACACACAAACGTCGGCGACAGATGAACCGTCGTCCTGCCAAAAACACAAAGTTGTTTTTCTGTCGACGCCGTTGTTTTGTGTCTTTGACGCTTCTTCTGTCCTCGAGAAATCTCAAACAGGAATCTCTGCTCTGTGTTTAATGTGATTATACTCTAGGCTTGTAGCAAAGGTGGTTCATGATCTCAGAATGTGTAGGAACGATCTTTGGCATCTGAAACTCACATTAATATGTGCAATATTTTAGGAATTACGTTTCTTTTTTTTCCCCTGGGAAACAGTTTTACCTGCAGAAGATCCAAAAAAAGACGAGATCACAGATTGTTTGGTGCAAAGTGACTCAAGACAACACCTACATGTAATGATCCTGTTGGGTCATTCTGTTTTAACTCAGCGAAGGTGGTTCATGAGCTCAGAATCTGTAAGAACTTGATCTGAAACTGACATCTGCCCATTGTTTAGCTGAAATTCCAACATTTTCACAATTTTTCACCCAATAGAAAGGTTCAATAAATCAATTGTGAGTTGGAAATTGAGCGAGATGCCACTTTCAGACGTCCATATCTCTTGAAGTATACGTCCTGGAGTCTCCACATGTTCAGGAGATGTTCAGAAGGTTGTGGTGAACAGAGAGAATGCAGCAAATTCTGGAAATCAAGACTCAGTGTTTTGCTTAAGAGCTTCCAAATTCAGGACTTTTTCAAAAATCAAGTGACTTGTCCAAAAATGTGGATCTCTTTGATCAATGTTTTTGTGAGAATAACATCTGAATGAGATCACTGATGCTTAGAAAGCTTTTATATGTTGGTAGAAATGGCAGTGATGGCCGATCACGGGTAAAAAAGTCATTAATTTCCAATTGACCAGATGATATGTTGAATGATGGGGGGGCTGATGACATTTAGGACAGGAAGAGATGGAAGGATCATCTACTGGTGCTCCAAGTTTCAAAAATTCCTCCATTATGCCATAAAAAAAACCTTCGTTTTTACGTTTCATGTTCAGACGCCAACCCCAGCCACCACTCTCCATTTAATAACAACAGTCAGGAGCAGAATGGTTTTAACATAAAGATGGAAGGATGTTGAGACTTGGCCCACCAGTACATGATCCTTCCATCTCTTCCTGTCCTGAGTACCATCAGCCTGCCCATGATCCAACATGTCCATTTGGAAACTCATTAACTTTTACACCTGTGCCAACTCTGATCGGCCATAACTCCCATTTCTACAAACACAGGACAGCTTTCTAACCATTGTTGGTGTCATTCAGACGTTATTCTCACAATAACATTGATCAAATAGATCCTCTGTGGTAGAGATGTGTTTGTCCTCCTTTTTTGAAAATCCACTTTTTTCTCAATTTTTAAACAAAATCATGAATTTGGAAGCTCTCAAGCAAAGAATTGAGTCTTGATTTCCAGAATGTGCTGCCTTCTGTCCGTTCACAACCTTCTGAACATCTCCTGATCATGTGGAGACTCCAGGACGTATACTTCAGGAGATATGGACGTCTGAAAGTGGCATCTCGCTCAATTTCCAACTCGCGAGAGATGATTTGTTGAGAATTTCCATTGGGGTAAAAGATAGTGAAAATGTTGGAATTTCAGCTAAACAATGGGCAGATGTCAGTTTCAGATCAAGTTCCTACAAATTCTGAGCTCATGAACCACCTTCGCTGAGCTGACACTGAATGACCCAACAGGATCATTACATGTAGGTGTTGTCTTGAGTCACTTTGCACCAAACAATCTGTGATCTCGTCTTCTGGTTGATCTTCTGCGGGTAAAACTGAGCTTCACCCAGAAAACAAATAACGTAGTTCCTAAAATACTGCACATATTAATCCATGTTTTTATAGAATTTACATTGGTTTAAACCTGCAGCCTCTTGAATCAAGTCTCTGCAACATCAGAAAACCATCTATTTAGATCAAACTCTTGTCTTCAGCAGAGATCAATCTGACATTAGAACATCTCATTTTACTCTTTTTATAGTCATCTTTCCTGTTAATTAGTGACGTTCTAAACAATATTGCGCTGTACTGAAACTACACGTAGATGTCAGATGATTGTTTCTGGTTTTGCAGATAAACTGTTTAATTTTAGTGACTTTTTTTTTTTTAAGGATAACACACCTTTAAAACTCTCCTGGAAGTAAAATTAGGTTTCTGTTTTGGTCCCGGTTCCTGTCAAATGAATTACTAATATCATGTGCGATATTGGGCCGTAATATAACGACATGTAGACGTTGTTTTCACACGCTAAACGCACTAATTAGGAGTCACTTTGCACCAAAAAATCTGTTTAACCTCGTCGTCTTTCTGCAGGTAAAACTTTATCAAGAAAAAAAATGCTAAAATACTGCATGTCATAATATGTATGTTACAGATTTTCAAAAAGAGGTTCATAAATACATTTAGGAATCATAACATCCTACACATACATAGTTATTTATTCTGATTTAAGGTCAGTTTTGTAAACTCTTGATATATTTTCCTCTGTTTTTGACAAGAAATACAACCAAATAATCATATTTTGGTCACGTATGTTTGTCTGTTTTCTCTGATTTTAGTATTCGCTGAAAAGAAGCTGATTTCCACTGAGACATGAACATGCAGGCAGCGCAGCGGTTCTAATAAAGTAATAAGTTAATGTGAGATTATCAAGTTGTGAGGGTTTAACGCTGCTTTTCAGATATCTTTCATGTCGTTTTCTATCACAGGCCTTTCAAATTGTCTCTTTGTTGTTCGAGTGCCAGACGACAAAGAGACTGAAACCAAGAGAATCAAATGATTAAAACTGATTTGATGTAAATTTGAGAACAAGTCTGGTGCCAACAGGAGTGAACGTTATTCACACTTTAATGGTTATTGGTTCCTTTTGTTGTTTTTTTAAGAGAAAAAATTACACAAACGGAACCATTTCTCTCTTTTCTTTAAAAAAAAATTGCTGCACTTTAACTCGTCACTTTTTAGTAAAAAAAAAAAAAAAATCAATGCAGAGCAGAAAAAAGCACTTCTTCTAAAAAAGGTGACAATAAAGCAGGATGGAGTCTTTAACAAAACAAACATTTTATTTTACATCTCAGCCTCTCGTCCACATGAAAACTGTGTTTTGGGTCCTTTAACTGACATGTTTTCTTTCATTTTAACGTATTTTTTAAATGTCAAATGCCTGAAACAACCAACAATGGTATTTATACATAAAAGCTGCTTTCTTTACTTGCAGCTACACATTTACAGCTTCACTTTTCTGCACAAACTGAAGCTAAAATTTCGGAATTTTCTGTTTATTATATGACAGAATTTGACTAAATCTGCACTTTAAAATCCACAGAAACATGAAAGGACAGAACGTTCTTCTTTGGTGTTTGATGTGTCGGTGGTGGACAGATTTTATTTTCATTTGAAGACGATATCTGCTCAGAAAAAAAGAAAAAAACATCCGCGTTAAAGCGAACAAAGGTGCTGTGAAGGAACTCTATAAATAGGAAGTGTGTTGTCTTAATCTCTCCAGTGCTGACAGCAGAACTGATAACGGCTTATTGATCCTTCAGTCTTTAATCATTCAGACCTGGAGCCTCTTTAATACCAGGTTTCAGGATCCGTCTCTGGGCCGCACAATTAATTAAACATCAATCGCAGCCCTGATTCTGGCCTAAATGGACACGATGACTGCAGTACGGACGTTTAAAATTCATTTAGAAAGCTGATAAAACGGTTTCAAGTGAGGCACATCGTCTTGTGTCGCTGTTTTCAGATCATTTTTGGTCAAAGCGGAGACTAGAAGCTTCTCTGTGCAGCTAGCTTCTAGCGTAGCCTGCGTGGGAGGCGTTCAGGGAACATCTGTAAATTGTAGCGTCTGTCAATAAGCAGATAAATTTAGATTTTGCGTCGAGGAATTAAACTGAATTCAGGCAGCAAATATTTGCATTAATGAACACAACATGGAATAAAAGCAGTGCTGTTGAATTAAATGTGAAAGTGCGATGTGGCAAATATTCTAATTCCGATAGTTATCGAGCAGTTATCAGATCATTTTTTGGGCCTTTTACTCTCACAATAGTCCCCATTTTTGCCCAGTTAGTTAGTGTCATTAAATACAGTATTGAGCTGTAATAAAACATGTTGCTGTTCCCAAACATCCACTAATTCTGAGCCACTTTGCACCGAACAGTCTCTGTAATTTTGTCCTTTTTTTCTGAAGTTCTGCAGGTAAAACTGAGAATCCCCCCAAAAAATGTATTTGCTAACATACGTGCATGAAAATCTTGGTTTTAGTGGAATTTTTTCGGAAAAAGGCAAAGAAATAAATATAAGAACTAAACTAGAGCGTCTCAAAAAACGTGCTATTTCCCATTAGTTGTTTAAGTAAAATGTAATATATGCTTGACTCGTGACACATAAACGGATGTGTTTTAAACTATGTCTTATTGAAATAAAGTTAAAGTTATTGATTGACACAGACACACTAACCACATTCTGTCAGGTTTAGTGTTTTTACTCTCTGTAGGACTAACACCTGATGCCGCTGAGCTCCGACCAGTCCTATACGACCAAAGTGAATCTGATTTCCTCCCTGTCCAGTCCAGAGCTCCGGGTCCGATCCTGACGGCGGGCGGTAAAAACCCGGTGATGGAGCTGAACGAGAAGCGCCGAGGCCTCAAGTACGAGCTGATCTCGGAGAGCGGCAGCAGCTACGACAAACGCTTCATCATCGAGGTACGAAAACGCCTGAAGCATCTGCAAACGGCGGCAAAGACGGTGAACACGGAACCAGTTGAAATCCTGTAAAACCAGTTTACGGTTTCAGGCTAATAAAATCACCAATCAGGTTTGAGCTGTTTAAGTTGCTCAACAGCTAAATGAGTTAGTTTTTAATATCTTCAGCTCGATTACAGCTGCATGCTCGTTTTTTGGTTTTAAAATACCAAAAAGGAAAAGTAGATGCTACTTTCCAGTAAAAAAAAAAAAAAGATTATTTCAGGGGTTAAAAGTTTAAACATTGTGGTTAAAACCCTTTTAATGATATTTATGGTGTGATTTTACATTAGAAATGTACATATTAAGGATTAAAACGCTACAAAAAAATAAAGTATAACTTAGCGTGACTATGATGCATAACAAAGCTTAGATCCTACTTTTATTTAATTATTTATGGAGATTAACCTTAGTAGTGTCATAACAAGAGCCCCTGGTAAGATTAATTATGGAGCTTAACCTAACTAAATACTACGGTCAGGACCCGACAGTGTCGTTAATAATGAAGATGAAGTTTTGACTCACAACAAATCCAAGGATTCCCTGGAAGCCCTGCAGGCGAGATTTGTTTTTTATTGTGTTTTTCTTTTGTTGTACATTGTACAACATTTTTAAATCTATATATATAGGCCAGAACGTTCGTTGTTCACCTCTTGATGTCGGTCTTTGTGGATCTGAAGTGTTTTTCGGATCGTTTTCTTGTTGCAGAAGTCGACTTCTTTCTGTCCTCAGCAAGTTGTCTTTTACAGAAGCTGTGATGTTTTGAATTTGCAGCTAATCGGTTGAATCAATCCTCGTGTTCCTGGCTTTACATGATTAGAAAACCCTAACGGATGCAGGTCAGAGGAGGTCTTGTAGATTAGCTGCAGGACCTGGTTTACTGTTTCATAAGACGGAGTTACAGGTGTGTTTGCTGTCCGCCCATAAATCAAGCGCACCTCCCTAAGCTAGGCATTTCCAGCAACTTTATATAAAGTGATTATTTTTCGGCTGTTTAATTTACAATTTAGGTAAAATGCTGTTTATGTCTTCTTCAAATTACTAATTTAACTGAACCGATTTTGCGTAAACATCAAGTGACAAAAGGACAAAAACAGTTTCATCAGCATTTTGAAAAACTTCCGCTGTACTTCATTCATTCATTTTAACAAACAATCACTTATTCATTGTTAACACAGCCAACTATTAGTTATCGCATTTGTTTAACAAAATAGCAACAAAAAAATAGCATTTGCATTTCGATAGAGCCTGTCCTTGCTAGTTTTGTCTGAGCAGAAGCAAACGTTTTTAAAATATAACAACAAAATAAGTTTCCACTTCATATTCTGTTGATCAGCCAGTTGATTAATCGGTTAATATCGCAGCTCGAGTTAGCACGCTAACATGTTAACAACTACATGTGTGAAACACCGGCTAATTAGCATTGTTGCTGTTTGTATGTTGGTTTGCTGCTATTAGCATGTAGCTAGCATCAAAGAGCTGCTAGCTGCTATTTTGTTGGGCCAATTTTAAATTAAAATATTATTTAATTGCTAACAATCAGTTATTATCATGGACAACTATTAGATAAGAATAAAACAAACTGGATCCCCAGCTTTGACAGATATTGTCATTTGAGCAACAATTTGCGCAACAACATGTCTGGAGAGTACGAGCTGTGAGCTAACCGAGACCACCTTGAACGACAACAACGCTCTGATTCCTGCATTCGTCTTTCTTTCAGTATTTAATTGTTGGACCTCCTGTCTTTTCTTCGTTTACTGCGACAGGTGGAGGTGGACAAGCAGGTATTTCGGGGGACGGGTCCTAATAAGAAAGTAGCCAAAGCTAGCGCCGCGTTAGCCGCCCTGAACAGCTTGTTCTCCGGATCCAAGTCCGCGACCAACAAGAAGAAACGACCCAACCCTCCAGTAAGAAAAAAACACAATGTCTGAACGACAACAGTACAGTTCACATGTTTAAAGGCATTGTATTTGTGTGAATGAACAATAAATAAACTAACATCATAAATAAGGACAAACCAACTGGAAACGGGCGGCAATGAATACATGTAAGATGTTCTGGTGTTGAGAGAAGGTTTGTCAGAGTCACTCCATGAAAAATTATTCTGTGTCCAACTGACCTCAGAATCAGCTGATTCTTTATCCACAGTAACTTATTGTAGTTTATTTAATGAATTTATGTCTTGCTTTTCTCGTTTTGTGTCGTTTAGTTGTTGTTTAGTGTGAAGTTTTGATGGTTTCATGTGTCTCTGAGACAGTTTTAGTCTCTTTGTAGCATGACGTGACATGAAACTATGATACATCCCATAATATCGATGCTTAAAGTTGATTTAAAAAAAATTTGAAAAATTGAAAATTAACAAAAATCAGATCCAGTGTTCAGGCTGTGACACCTGGATGGATGTAAAACTGATCTGGTGTCAGTTTTTACCAGATGTGTTTTCATCCTAACATGTCATGTGTCTGTCTGCTGGACTGATGAAGTTCTGAAGCTCAGAAATGATGGAAAAAGTCAAAAAAAAAAAGTGTGAAATTCTGACCTTTGAAGGCTTGAAACTGAAAATATTCTTAGTATGAAGGTATAATTATGCACGGCTTCACTAAATATATTAAAGCTACAATCAGAAATAAACCAGCTGATTGTGAGGAGGTCTCGGTGGGACGTTTTTCCAGATGTGGTTGATTTTATGTGTAAGTCATGTAAGCAGCTTCAACAGACGAGTCCAAAATAACTTTCCCATGCTGCTGTTGTAACCCTGAAATCAAACTTCATGTCCAGTTCTGACCCAGTCTGTGTCTGTGCAGCCAAAGCGACCCGTGGCCTCGGTGCTGACCCTCCCGGCCCTCGCTGCCAGACCTCCGCGGGTCCCGGTGATCCCCAGAGCTCCGTACATCAGCACCCCGCCCACACATGGATACATCCCGCCAGGTAAGGCACACCTGGAGGAATGCTGCGGGTTAGATACAGCCGCTCTACATGTGATCCGTCAGCAAATAATAGTGAAGCGTAATCAGAAGACTCGCAGTGGGAATCCTCCCCATTGATCCAGCAGCTGGTGTTGGTCCGGTTCTAACGCTCTGCAGATCATTATTCATTTTAAAAGGGCAGCAGAGTCCAGCTGAGCACAGCTGCTCCTCCTGGCTGTGACGGTGGAGCTGCGGCTGGATGTATAGTTATTATATTCGGACTTTAGCTGCTGCTGTGGTGCTCCTATAACAGATGTGTTTGTTTAGAAGTTCGGGGATACAGAAAAACTATGGCTGCACACCAACGCTGCATGTAGTCAGAGCTACAAACATCACAGACTAATGTGCTGCAGCCCGAATCGTCACTGAGGCCGTGTTTTTGTATGATTGTGAAGCAAACTTTTGCAATGCTGCATAAAATAATAAAAGTTAAATTAGTTTTTTGTGCATTAGCTGCTCTGGTAATAAACTGGGCTGCATAGTGTTTTCAGAAGGTGGCGCTGTAGACTACATCAGACATGACAAAACCAAACTGCATGTGGTTTTCTGCAGCAATCAGGACAAACTGCATCATCATAATAAACTGTCATCGTCATGTCTGTGCACTTTTTAGCAGCTCGAACTTATTTACAGTCACGCGAAACACCAAAACTGTGTAGAGGAGCATGCTAGCTTGCAAACTGTGAAATCCGACAAAAGCAGCAGTCCAATCCGGTGTGGTTTGGTATACTGCTACGTATTGGCACATACTAAAGGTACTTCTGTCTGACTATATAGGGTAGTGGAGGATGTTGGAACACAACCTAGTTGTTTGCTACTCGCTAAAGAGAAAAACACAAAATAAAGAAAGAAACAAAACTTTGTCAACAAGGCAAAAAACTGAGAGAAGTCTTGAGGAAAGTTGTAATGAATGTTTCATGTGAGCTGCTGTTGTCTATATTTCATCCTGTCTGAAGTCTCTAGAAGCAGAAACCGCTGATTAGTCGTGTGTTAAACATTCGCTACGTCAGAACTTGTTAAAAAAAAGAAGCTGTTTTCCTTCAGGTTCATTTACTCTATTTTGAAAAAACTCAGACACCACCTCAAGCAAGCATAGAAGCTACATTGTTTTGTATTTTTTCAGATTTTGCCTTTTCTCCTGCAATAGTTTAAAATGTGCATAAAAATACGTTTTGGAAGCTAACGGCTAGTACCAGTCACAGCTATGAGTGTCTCTGCAGCAGTCAGTAAAAGAGCTGCTGAACCAGCTCCCTCAGATTTCTTTATTAATGCAGTCCTGCAGACCTGTGCCTGACAGACACAGCTGAGGGTGCAACGGCTCCCAGTAGACCACATGATACTGTATTACAGTGCAGCTCAGACATTAGCTTTTGATGGCTGTAACTCTGTTTGCAGCAGTAGTTGTGCTGTTGAAGCGTAGACTTGAAGCTGCAGTATTCCTGGACTCCTAAATAAAGCCACAAAAAAACGCAGATGTGCTCACAACCAGCAGCTGGATGTTATCGGGGATCGAACTTTTAAAATGAGTTAAGAGGAATAAATGCATCAAGTGTCACATCATCTCTATTTTCTGTAGCATCCTGCAGTGTGTTTCCCTAAATTGGACTGGATCAGACAGAACATAACGCAAAGTAGGCCTCTAAAGGTTCTTGTGTTAACCTTCAAGGGGTTCCATTAGCTTTAGCTTGGTGAACATATTAAAATGGCATCTGAGTAGAAACAAAGCTCACGTTGAACAATTGGAGACAGAAAATCGTTGACAGAAGCCATGTCTTTGATGTGGCACTGAGGACAAAGGATTATACATATGTACGTACATTAACTGCACTGTGGGGCAATTAGTGTCACATGAAAGGGCATAAACTGTCCGTAGAGGGACCTCAGGACTGCACTGTAAGTAGCTGATAAGTGGTGAAGTAGACCACCTCCTCAGTGATAGTTCCAGTCAGCCTTCGTTAGTCAAACTATGTCCACTGTTCAGATTTAGATAACTTGCTGGTTCTCTGGAGTTCTTCTGTCTGTGTTTGCCCATTGTGCAAGCCTGTACATCACTGTGTTTGTGTTCTGGTGACGGTTTTTCCAGTGTTTGTTTAGATTCTCAGTCATCCAGGTCCTGGTAATTCGAAATGCTTCAGTGGAAGACAACTAGACTTCTTTTTGTTTCTTGTAGACATGTCCCTTCTTGCCCAAGAGGGTTCCTTCTAACTGCCCAACTTGCATGATAAGTTGTGATGGGGGTGGAATGATACGGGATGCCAGGAATGCACTGCATGTGGTTAATAGGTGGTGTTGTAGACCAACTTCCCAAGCTTTCTTCACTCGTCTCTCAAACAGCCAAACACAAGTTAAGCAATGTTGTATCTGACACAGGAAGGAGGACATGTATATATATATATATATGTCTATAGATAGATAGATAGATAGATAGATAGATAGATAGATAGATAGATAGATAGATAGATAGATAGATAGATAGATAGATATAACTGGAACAGTCATCTCTAAACACCCAACAGCCACATACAGTACAGTCCTGACATCCCTCCCCCCCGAGGCATTTAGCATTACCATGAGCTCGATGACTGAGAATGTACACCGACTTCCTTATGTTCATGGAGTATCTGAAGAACTCAGGAGGACATTGACCAAACACTGTATCCTTGTGCGCTTGAATTCAAACACATGCTAAGGCAGATGCTTGTCCACCCAAAGGACAAAACATCTGAGCACAAGTAGAGCAGTGTAGTATGCATAATTCAATGCAGCAAGGACTGCAGACCTGTATGTTTCAAAGAAAAAAAGCACATGGCATAACACGGGAGAATTAGGTCTGGATTTAGCAGTCCACCTGCATCTGAAAGACAAGGTAGACTCGTCTGAGGACAACGATGTCCACATTTCGGCCAGAAGAAAACCGAAGGAAGACTCAGAATGCTGTCCTGGTATCCCTAAAAAGACAACCTAACTTCCATTCACACCTCAAAAAAAGGAAAACTTAAGAATCTGGGCAACATCACCTACAAGCCTTTAAGATCAGTGGTAAAACATTTTCAAGAAACAAGTCAATTCGCCTTTGTTTTAGCTTTTAGGTACGTCATGCCCCCGTTGTTGGCTTGGGAGATGTGAATAGCTTACACTGAAGACGATTGAAATTTTGAATATGATCTGCCTTTCTTTGAAATCAAACAAGTTACATCATTCAGGTTGCTATGTGTCTTTCAGGTCTGTTGCTTCTCAGTCATCCAGGTCATGCTAATCCTTGGAGCTTTAGTAGACAGCTTCTCTTTTAGGTTCTTAAAGACATTTTACTTCACATCCAAGAGAGGTGAAGCGGCATCTTCAGGAACTTAAAGAGAAGTCCAGTTGTTTTCTACTGAAGCTCCAAGGATTGTATGTTTTTTAATTCTTCAGTTTCAGCACAGCTAACACGCTAGCCCAGTTGTATCTCCTGTTTCCCGACCTGCTATCTGGTAGTCCTCAATGTCATTCCGCCTGTTTAGGGATTGGCCAACCCATGGATGGACTCCAACTATACCATCTTGAACTACACCTAGAAATGGTAGCCATTGTTGTGCCCTCACTAAAGTCTGCCTGTTGCTAGCTGCAGTCCAAGAGAGTCTCTCGAGAGGCTGCTGAATTAGCGACAACGACTTGGACAGTCTGTAGGTAGGGCAACACCAGACAAGACGAGTCAGGGCTGTCTGGTTAGCAGTGATGTCAAGACAGCCGAGATGCAAAGATCTGTGAGTTAGCCCTGTAGGGTTGAGTTAAACAAAATCTGTGGAGCGAACTGTGATTCTGCCCTAAAAGATCTTCCACCTGGACAACTGAGAATCCTCACAGATTTACCATCTTTTTTCTCCTTCCACAGGTTTTGGTGCACCTTATGGTTACAGCCCTGCAGGCGCCCTCCCTGCTTACAGTAAGCTTCCACTTCTTTTATCCCATCAATTATCCATCCATTGTCCCTGTTCATCGCCAACATTTGAGTTTGTTTTTCTTCGCTCTTCCTCAGGTTTTCCCTCCAGAATGCCCTCAGTAGTTGTCCCAGTCATCCGAGTCCCCACAACATACCCCGTCACCCACCTGTACCCCTATTAGGACCCTCCCTCACCCATCTCACAGGAAATCACTTGTTAAAGGAATATCCTGGCTGTGTGTTCACAAAAAAACAACACCAGTTTCTGAGCATTAAATAAGGCAGAACTATTGTTGCACAGCATGTTCCCTCTGGGCCACAGCGGCAATCAGCGAGATCCATTTGGCTGTTAGAAAGTTGCGTTGGCCTCGTCTTTTGCTGTCCGTGTGAACACAGAGTTTGACAAATAAGCTCTTTGATCAGCAAACCGTTATGCAATGAAAAAAAAAAAAAAACAAGCTCAGCATTTAGTGAGCCGCAGTGTGTGAAAGACTGCTCAGGAAAATATTACAAAGTAGAGAGCAGAGTGTCTAGTGTCGGGTATTACATTTACAAGGGAAGTCATTAACCTCACAGCAACGGAAACACCAACCATTCGTCGAAATAAACAGCCACTGAATGGACCTAAAAAGGATTATTAGCCAGTCAAGGCTATAAAACATCCTCTGCAGGGAAACTAACCCAACAACCACTATAGAAAAGTAAAGACACTCAAAATTGCAGTCGCTATAAGGAGCAGGAAGCAGCCTCTGTGGTATAGCAACCACTAAATGTGCAATGTGGAAAACTGAATAAATAACATATTGAGGAAATGAAACACTGTTGATTTCCCTAAACTAAATATCCACCGTAACGACCCTATAGGGAAATAAAGCTGATATTAGTAGGATTACACAGCAAGAACAAAAAACATCTACACAGCATTCGTTGTAAATAAATAAACTATTTCACTAGAATGGACACTAAACAGTTTATTTCCCTGCAGTCATCATCAACATGTTAACTGCAGAGAACTTCAGATATTTTTAGCTGCTTAACATCCAAAGAAGGGAACTAAACCAATAAAACCAGTGCAGGGAACTAAATAAACCCACTAACCACAGATCAGCTATGAAATATCTCCAGTAGGGAACCAAAAAGAAAACACCCCCAAATCAATCAACTATTTCAAAGTATTGAAATAAATCAACAGCCACCTCAGGGAACCAGTTGAACACCAGCTGCACACTGACAACTAAAGAACCAATGTAGGGAACTAAACATACTTCACTTTGGACTAAAGAAAATAAATTCTAACAACTAGTCAACTATGGTTAGTCCATATTTTACAATGGTCACTGCCATACACCACTCACCTAATATATATTACAGGGATCTAAAACGAAAAGGAAAAAAAAAAGGAACGTCTTTTGAAGGGAACTAAGAACTTAGTACCCACCAGTAACCAACTACAACATTTCTAGCAGTTAAATAAACTTGATTTGGAACTAAGGGAACTAAATAAACATCTTTTAAATGGAACTTAAGAACTTGTCACCCATAATCAACAAGCTGCTGCATATCTACAGCACATGTCCAAAACGCAAACACCTGTAATACAGACATCTTCATATAAAGTATAGGGAACCAAAAGATCCAGGAAGTAAACATGCTTAGTTTCAAACTTAAAATTGTACAAACTAGGGAACTAAAAACAGAAAACCTTACTACCCACCATACAACAGCTACAAAATACCAATACACAGCAATAATAGATATCCAGACACTTTAGTAAATGAACACCAGCGGCACACAAACTACACAGCCAATGCAGGGAACTAAATCCCTGAAATAAATACACTTTAATAAGCACTAAGTAAAGTAAAATATAGAACCTGACGAATCAGAGAAGTTACAGTGACAAGCTTCTAAATGCCTCCAGTACAGAACCAAGAAGAAAAGTCCTGCCAGACACCAACGACCAGATACACAGAACTGGGAACTAAAATGTGAAGGAACTAAATGTACTTTGGTTGAATTAAAGATACTAAAATGTATAAAGAAACCAAGCAAGTAGCTCAATAAATATCCAGGAATTAAATACACTTTAATTTAAACTAAAGAAACAAAGATCTTCTTAAGGGAACTAAAAAAAAAAACACAAAAAAACCCCACAATACCCACCAAAAGCAAACTACTGAATATCTAGAACGAAAAGGAAAACATCTGCTATACACCAACAGCCAGACACACAACATGGAAAACAAAAAATCCAGAAGTAAACATAATTAGTTTTGCACTAAAGAGACTAAGACGTAGAAACTAGGGAACTAAATGAATAAATATCTTTTGAAGGGAAATAAAGAACTTCCTAACAGTTTACACCGACTAAAGAATATCTACTTTATTAAACCAGAATATCCAGGAATTAATGACAGTTTATTTTAAAGTAGGCAAACTGAAATGTGGGAACTAGTTGAACATTTTATGAAGGGAACTAAAGAACGTACAACCTGCCAGTAACAAACTATTGAATATCTACAGTATAGAACCAAAAAGGAAACACCTGGCAGAAAGATGCACAAAACTGGGAACTACAAAAAATCCAGGAAGTCAACATTCTTAGTTTTGAACAAAGAGAAACGAGGGAACTAAAACATAACAACCACCACAACTATGAAATAACTACAGCATGGAACCAAAGAGAGAACACGTGTTATACACCAACAGCTCAATAAATCCTGGATGTAAAAGTAAATCAATAAATTGGCAACCCCTTCAGGGAACTAAATGAACACCTGCACAGCAAAATAGCCAATGTAGGGAAGTAAATAAATGAACTTAAAAAATCAAAGCATCTCCTGCAGGAAAGTAAAAAAACTTAAAACAAACAAACATGAACAGTCCAGAATGAAACGGCCTCTTTAGGGAACCAGAAAGCAGCTACGAGCTAAACACAGTGTAGGGAACTAAACGTCCTCTTTAGTGTAACTAACTCAGCATCCATCATAGAAAATTCCTTGCAGGCAAACAAATAAATATTCTGTCGCTTTAGGGAACTAAAACATAAATTCTCCATAGACAATAAATGTGAGCTTTAGGGAACTACCTAAGACTGATGGGAGCTTATTTGTCAGCATGTTGACGATTCCTTTAACAATCTGTCATGGATGTGAACATGTGTTTTGTATTTTACTTTCTCTCTGTTTTCTATTGTTGTTTTAAGTTTTTCTGTTGAGAGAGAACAAAAAAAGCAGGTTTACACTAATCAGGTTTGCACTGAAAAACCTTTTTCCTCTCGTTTGGATATCGAACGTCCGAGTTTACAGTTTACCGTTGAGCCATTTTATTCTGTTTGTTTGTGTTGAGTTAAAATACTTTCTTTTCAGAAAGATATTTTATTTTGACCTGTTTGTAGGTGATATTGTTTTTAAATAAATGAATATTTTTCGCCAACCGCCGTCTAACTTGTTGTTTTCAGAACGAGTCTTGTCGTTATTTATTCGTTGCTAATCAGAAAATGCTGTTTGTGCATCAATCACCTTTATTTCCCAACATCGTCTGACAACGTTTCTGGATTTCTAAGTTGTTTTTGCACATTGACTCTGTTTACCTCATCAACTGTTTCATTTACTTCATTTTAAACTAAATCCTCATTCCTGATGTTTTATTTGTACGACTGATACTTTTTCCACCTCATGTGTCCACTGAGAAGCTCTCAACTCAAGCTTTCACTCTCAGTCGTCCAGATTGTGAGATATCTATTCTATATCTCTATTTCTATAAGTAATAATCTAAAGGTGTACTCACCAAGTTGGCTCCTGAGACCTGTGGGTGTCAGTAAAAAGACGGTGAGAAACACAAGCAGTCAGATGCTCAGGTTTTAAATAAACTTTAGCTTGACGCACACTGTTAAACATGTCAGCCATGAGTTACAGAATCAACTGCTGCTTACTGTTTCGTCTGCAGATCCTTCAAAAGCTCCACTTTTAAGGTCGTTTTGCAAATTTGACAACGTAAATATCCAAACAGAAAAATGTGTCACTTCACAGACTCATTATTCGTCATTATTTACACATTTCTGTCGACCAGTTAAAGGATTTAAAACACATTATGAATTTAAAACTACCAAAAAACCAACTATGCTAATCTTTTCATCTACTTTGGTAGATGCTCGTCTGGACGATATCAATATTGTGATTGATCTGAATCCTCTCTCCTTGCCGTAACGCACACAGGGATCACATTTCCTTCACCGAGGTCTTAAAAAGGTGATAAAACGCTTTAAATTCGATTTGCGCGCTCATATTGTGTTACTGTAGACGTGTGCTCACGGTCTGTGGACTCTTACAGACATTTAAACCTTCTGAACTCGTGTTACATTTTTACTCACTGTGGCCTTGTTTTTCCTTTTCTTTTTTTTGGTCCAAGTCTGGCAGCTCTGTGGAAACAGAACAACAAGACGGAGAGAACTAAAAAAATAAAGTCAAACAATTATACAGGTATATTTACATGAACCATAAAACGGAAAAACAGAATGTTATTAAAAACAGAAAAATTACGTTAAAAATAAAAATCTTTCAGGTGTTAACCAATATTTTGCCAATATTAAGGAAATAGTTCAGTCATAACGATGTACACAAAACTGCATGTTTTTGGGTTTTTTTTTTTAATTAAAAAATTTGACAAAAATTTAAAACCTGGAATCAACATATTCAACTTCTTTTTCAAGTGCCCACATGTTTTAGTAATCCTGAAATAAAACGGTGACTCTACATATATATTTAACATGTTTATATACTTAAAACACTGCCTACAGTTCAAACAAAATAAAAAAAATAAAAAATAAAACTAAATAAATAAAGAATGAGATAAAATGGTGACCAAAATAACAGAATTAAAAAAACAAAATAAAACTCGAAATAAAATTATTTTTAAAAACAAAATAAAACAGTGACGCTACAAATATTATTAACATGTTTTATACCTAAAACACTGCTTGCAGTTGACTAAAATTTAAAAAAAAAAATGAGGGGAAAATAAATAAAATATTAAAAAAATAAAATGTTGAGTGAAATAAAAACGGAAATACCTGAAACTAAAACAAAAAAACCAACTCAAAATGAAATAATAAAAAAAAATAAAATAAATAATGGAAAAATAAAACGGTGACTACAAATAATAAAAATTTAAAAATAGGGAAAACAAATTAAAATGGTGACCGCGATACCGAAATAAAAACTGAAATAACGGAAATTTTTTTAAAAAACAACCAAAAATAAAATAATTTTATTTCAAAAAACTGAGAAAAAAAACAAAAAACAAAATAAAACTCTACACATATTGCAAACACATTTTTATACTAAAACACTGCCTGCAGTTCAACCAAAACAAACGTTTTTAATTCCTTTTGAGTCAATCGTGGCTTCACGGCTGCGTTGTTTGTTTTTTACAGAATCTGGTTCTAACAAGATTTTTGTCGAATTTTTAAGTGGGACAAACAGACAAAAGCGTTTTTGATTCAATCTGACTGCGTTAACCTTAAATTTGGTAAATGTTTTAACAGACCTGTACGTCGAGGATTGTTTTAAAGTTTAAAATCTCATTACTCAGTCTGTTCAGAGGGCCACAGTTCCAGTAGCAACACTCTGATGAATGCAGCTTAACGTTCAACCTGCAGCCTGTTTCTCAGTGGCCACATTAAAGTGTCCCCTCCTGCCTTCATGTCCACAAAGTGCAGGACGAGTGTCGGCCGCTAACGAGCCCTTGTGTTCCCGTTAACCCTGCTTGGTGTCTCCTGTCCGTAGGCGGCCTGTACATCGACAGTGCCTATTACCAGCCGCAGACCATCGCCACACCGATAATCATCCACCTGGGCCCTCAGGATCTTTTCTGACCCCGACGACACTCCGAGAACCCGACTCGGCAAAAAAAAAAAAGACTTGCGGTTGATCCCCTCGCCCCTGTTCCTCCCGATTACGCCGTCTTCTCCTTCCACACCGGCTGCAACACTGAAAAGCAATATGGAAGAAGAAGAAGAAGAAGAAGAAGGCCGAGGCTCCGTTTCACCCAATACGACCACGAAGCAATACTCCTGCTGCTCCTACTGGCCATCAGCAACGTGACCGACTGTATGTACATACGACTACCTGTACATATGGATGTGTGTGTTTTCAATTTACATACATATATATATATATATATATATATACAAACATGTTAATAGATTTGAATATGTACAAGGCAGCAGCGGGTAAAGACACACATTTATAATCTATCTCTGAATGTAAATACAGTAGTGACTGACGTAGCTTTGTATCTAAAGCCGACATGATATCTATAAACACGTTTTACAGATTGTCTATAACGCTGTACTGGTATGTGGACGCTATTTA